ATGAGGATTTTTTGCGGGGCTGGTTACTTTTAATAAAAGCAACTCTGAGGAGTGGAGTTTGCTTGCCCTTTGTTGGGAAACATTTACATTTGTAAGGAAATCTCCATCTGTAAAGATACCTCCCTCCCTGTACCAGGAAGAAGAAAGGGGATGACTTTATCTCTAGAAACTCTTAATCAACGCCAAAGGCAAGGACTTAAATCTGCATTTTGTTTACTGTACTTGTGTAGTAATCTCCCATGATTGACTTCACCTCCACCCCCAATATCCTCCTTTGTCGCTAGCTGAAGACAATATTTAAGGTGGGGGCTTCAGCCATTTTGGCGAATTGCTCAGCTTGCCTGACCTCTCCCATGTATACATGTTATAAAGCTTTGTTTAATTTTCTCCTATTATTCTGTCTCATGTGAATTTAATTCATTCTCCAGCCAGATGAATCCAGAGAGGGTAGAGGACATGTCTTCCTCCCTTACAATGTCTATATTTCATGCTCACATCTGGATGATATAAGTATAAAATTCTAGGTTAATAATTTCCTTTCAGATGATGAATCCAAACAGCTTATTGCTTAGGAGCTGGAACTTCTGTCAACGGCTTAGTGACACATTGGAATGGTTGGAAGGATTTTTCTCTAACTGGCAAAAATGGTCAAGTGGACTCAAGACCCTGCCCGTCACCAACCTGCCATGGGGTCATCTGCTTTCTGCTCTGTCAGATAGAGGAGAACCAAGGCTGGCTGCTGGGACTGGAGGCTGATGGGCCCTTTGTTTCTCACGGGAAGAGGAACAGCCAGAATTGGCTTCTCATAGGATGTGGCCACTTTAGGAAAACAGAAAGTCCATGGAGGTCTTAGAATTCTGGGACCATTGGTGGCAGGAAGTCGGAAAGGAACAGATTCTGTGTTTGAAAGCTGGGAAGAAAGCCTAGCACCACATTGTTTTCAGTGAATTGCAACACATCAATAGGTCATGCTTGAAATTAAACTTATTGTGTATTTCCTACCAACGAGAATACTACCCTACACAACTACAACAGAAGCATCAAAATCAGGAAATTAGTGTTACTGTCATCTAATCCTCAGATCCTATTTCTAATTCACCTATGGTCCCAATAATTACAAGCCAATAAAGATTACAGGCCAGTTATTTTATAAAATGTCTCAATTTTATTTTCTGCTGTCTTCTTATGATTAGATTCAGGTTATACATCTTTGACAGGAGTATCACAGAAGTGGTTATGTTCTTCCCACTGCATCTTGTCAGGTAATGCATGACTGATTTATCCTGTTTCAGATGATGTTCATTTTGATCACTCAGCTAAGATGGTTTCTGCCAGGCTTCTCCACTACAAAGTTACTCCTTTTCCCTTGTAATTAATAAGTATTTTGTGTAGAGGGAAGTACTTGAAACCATGTAAATATACCATTTCTCATCTAAATTCTGACTTATTACTTACTTTTATCAGTATGAACTCATGATTTCCTTTTTTTTTAATAAGGTCTTTTAATTTTATTGTTTATTTATTTATTTATCGAGGAAGATTGGCCCTGAGCTAACATCTGCCACCAATCCTCCTCCTTTTGCTGAGGAAGACTGGCCCTGAGCTAACATCTGTGCCCATCTTCCTCTACTTTATATGTGGGACGCCTGCCACAGCATGGCTTGACAAGTGGTGTGTAGGTCTGCACCCAGGATCCAAAATGGCAAACCCCGGGCCACTGAAGCAGAAGGTGTGAATTTAACCGCTGCACCACCAGGCCGGCCCCTCCTTTTTTCATTCAATGTCTTCTAATCCATTACTACTATCTTAATGCTCAGATTGTCTCAGCTTTGGCCAGTGGGAGTCCCTTTGAGCTAACTTCCGTGTCTTTTTGATATCATCTTATCATTCCTTGAGTGGTTCTTTGCCTTCTGGCACAAGATGTTCCAGGCACATCTTGTGCTTTGATCCCAGCCCTAGAATCAGCTATTTCTCCAAGAAGCCCTGGGTTTTGTTGTTGTCATTTGTTTTTAGTGGAGAATAGTATTTAGAATCCAAGATCTAGGCACAAAGCATTTATTGCTATTGGGCTATTACTGCTCCTTGACCTTCTCAGTGGACAGGGCTACTTCCATCCCTATTTATTTCTATATCTACATAGATCTGCTGAAAACCATGGGTGAACACATGCCAACATTTCCTACTTCAATTCACCACTACAGGATTCATTCTTGCTTTCTCTCTTTCCATGCATGTAACACCCTTTTCCAATAGTGAGAAATATTGCTCACATTATCTTTAATAGACTAATTTGCTTAATCCGTTTGCATGTAGTCAAAGCCCCATCCCTGTCTCTTGCATATATGCCTTCCTCATCCTACTCGGGCTCTGAAATTGCACTGGCCTGGCCCCTATATGGATGTTTTCATCACCCCACTTAAACTGACACCCCACCCCAGGTTGCCTCTGTGGCAGATGACCCCCTCACCTACTTAGGCTCCCACCTGACCACAGGTCTTCCACCCATATAGAGATGCTCCTCACTGCACTCAGGCTCCAACAGCCCAGGCTGAGCTGCTCACATGTGTAGATGCCCTCTTCATTCTATTTGGGTTGTGATTCTCTACATGGGACACACACGGACACACGCACACTGGCTCTGAAAACCCATGACAAGCCATGTCCCTTATTGTTGTCCTCTCCACACTGCTCAGACTGACACCCACATCAAGCTGCCCACATGCATGGACTCCCTCCTCACTCCACTCCACACCAGGTCTTCTTTCCCATGGGGATGCCTTTCTCATGCTCCAACTCCGCACCAGCTGACCCACCCACAAGGATGCTCTCCTCCTCCTTGAGCTTGAGCTCTAACACCCCACAGCAAACCGCCCCTCCGTGTAGATGTTCTCCTCATCCTGCTTAGGCTATGACCTCTAAGCTGGGCCACTCCCCTGCATGGCCTCCCTCATTTCACTTGAGCTGTGAAATCCACACCAGACAGCCCCCCATATGAATGCCTACCTTGCTCTGCTCCACATAATGGATTTAGGACTGAATTATTCAGGAAGGGAAGGGAGGAGGAAGAGCTCAGAAAATATTAACTACACCCAGAGGTATATTTTCATGTTTAGTAACATAATGCAATGCATCAGTCTATTGGATCATGATGTGAAATGTATTCTTATTGTGGGTCTCAGTCAAGAACAGTTGAAAGGCACCAACCTAAAAAGGTTCTAGCATGATGGTACACTAGCACCCCATTTAGTGCTTCACTGTTCTCTGGGCTGCTCTCAGGAGAAACCCTGTCACCTGTGTGAACACCCTATCCAAAAGGACAATGCTTCCATGGCAACAGAGATACAACTTTGGTGGGCTCCTGGGAGTCACAGACTTGGTTCTAGCTCTGCCTCAAGCACTCACTAGCCAAGCAATCCAGTTACCTTCTCCATGAAAAATGCCAATGATATGGGATGTACTTCTCTCCTACGCATAAAATCAGGCAGTATATGAAAAGTGATTTGAAAACTACAATAGATAATTATGCATAGGTCTTTTACTTGCAATATAATATTGACTCTTTAAACAACCTGTGAAATTCACATTCAATAGATGAAGAAACTGAAGCTTCAGGACGTCAAACGGATAAACCAGTATTCGAACCCAGGTATGTTAGACTCTATCCTCACAATCATTAAATGGCACTTTTTTTCTTAATTTCTTTTTTTTCCAAAGATTGGCACCTGAGCTAATATTTCCAATGTTAATGTTGCCAATATTTCTTTTTTTTAAATTGCTTTTTCTCCCTACAACAAGTAGTTGTATATTTTAGTTGTGGGTCCTTCCAGTTGTGGCTTGTGGGATACCGCTTCAACATGGCCTGATGAGTGGTGCCACGTCCGTGCCCAGGATACAAACTGGCAAAACCTTGGGCCACCGAAGCAGAGCGTGCGAACTTAGCCACTCGGCCACGGGGCCGGCCCCTAAAGGGCACTTTTAAAAAATGCTGTGTGAAGGTGAAAGTTTACTGTGTTAGCAATGAAGGAGCATCTTTGTTCTGTTACGGAGTTTGCATTATTTATATGGAGAAGTGAATCTTTTTATCATTTCCCCTTAAATATCACAGTTGTTGAAAGCTTTGAGTCCTGTGGGGATTTTTACCCTTTTCTATGCAAGCATAGACAAAATTCAAGAATTTGAGACTAAATGGGGGCAACCCTGAAACACCAATGGTGGCATCGGTGCAAGGTACTGGGGTGACGTAGTCATTTCCTTAGCTGTAAAATGACAGCCAAGGTAAAGTCCTTGCCTGTAGCAGGAGATGGATAAATACGTTGAAGAATGAACAAACGAGAGCTGGTTAAATGGAGAACCCTGGCAGCTTTGTGGGGTGGGGTAGTTAGCCAGGAACAGTACCCCCTTGGCCCCCAGGTGGAGGACAGACCTCAGGGTAGAATCAATCTACCATTTTCTGGTCTGGGGCTGTCCACAGTCCTACCTGGGACCAAGTCTCTGCTGAAGGGCCTGGAGAGCTTCTGCAGAGCTGCTTCTGGGCAGCTGGACAGGACCAGGCTGGGGCAGAGACCAGGTGTGGGTGGGCGTGAACAGTGCTCTCCACAAGACCATAAAAGTCCACCTCGAATGTTCTATTTTTAAAGCCAAATAGCAGCATTCTTCCTCCAGCCCCAAAAATGAAAATCTCAGAGCAGCAGTGAGTGTTCTGGTCAAGGACAAGGTGGGTACAACAGGGTACAGACTGAGCCACAGGGGATAAGAACCAGCTGAGGGAGAGTGTGCATCTTCTACCCTGATGAGCCCAACTCTGCCCCCTGCAGACATGCCAGGGGCATGACTTGCAACAGACTATGAGCAGAGACTTGAAACCTTAAGAAGCCAGCAATAGTCCCTTTGTCTCTCCTCAGCAGAAGACCACCTGTGCACGGGAAGAGGGGGCTCTTTATCCTGGCCAAGAAGGAGGTTGGGGTAGACAAGAGCAGCTGCAGACAGTACAGGAGCCCAGATTCTAAGTCCAATGGCAGTTTTTATTCCCTAGGAACAAAGACATGTGGGAAGAAACTCCAAAAGGAAATGGAAGCATGAATGACAAAAAGACACTAGGCTGGCATGGCTCAGGAGTCAGATGGATCGCACACTCCACACTGGACCTGGTCATGCCCTAGTTTCTTTGATCAACATCTGCCCCATCCCCAAGTGCCATTACAGAGGTGGAGGGTGGGGGCAGCGAGGTGTAAAGGTTCCCTACTTTACATAAAGGAGAGGGATGTACCTGTCTATTCCAAGAGGCCTCTCAGGGACACCAAAACCTCTCAAGAATGGAGGTAGACAGATAAGAATGAGAGGGGTCTGGGTGTCACAGACAACCTGAAAGCAGTCACAGGGGCCCTTTACGGCTGACAGCATCTGTGCTTAGATGGAACTGAAAGGGAAACAACAGCTGGGTGAGGCAACGTTGAGCTTTATGGTGGAGATGGTCAATCTTGCCAAATTGGGCCCCCAAGCAGTTATAACCAGCACTGCTGCTTCTATTCACTTCAAAGGAACTTGGCCATATGAAGTCAGAAGCCATTATCCTTTTCCCAAAGGAATCACTTCTGTCCCCTTTTCTGGAAAAATCTTGCCTCCTGCAAGTCTGGTCCTTTACAGAACAAACTAGCAAGAGACAAGGAAAAACCACGTCATACCCTCACACCTCCCGTGACATGACAGCTTCTAGTGCAGTATGAACCCCTAAGAACAAAGTCTTTGGTGTGGGGCCTGGAGAACTAAGTCATCTGGTCAGTCAGTCCCTGATAGTCTCTGCAGAACACATCAAGTAACTCATCCCTATAACACAGGGTGGTCTCTGGGCCTGGGTCCTGAGTCCAGATCACAGTGAGGTCTCCTGGAGGATGAAGGTGGGGCTGCTCGCCTGGTGCGCTGAGCCTTCCTCAGGCACTGCCATGGCCTCCTTGTCTCTGCTGCCCCTCAGCATCCCATTACTCATCTTCTCTGGAAACATAGCAGTGTCCATGGAGAGGTCCTGAGAAGCACAGAACAAAGGCAGCAGGGTGGGGTGAACATGAGACAAAGGGGTGCTAAAGGAACCCATGCGGAAAGGGTGAAAGACCCTACTTTGACCTCGGCTAGAAAGGAGATCAGCAAGAAGGGGGCAGGGGAGAAAGGGGGGAGCAGAGCACAGGGATGCAGGGACCAGCACACTGTGCGCCTCTCCAGGCTAAGACCCTTCTGCCCACCAAGCCAGCACTGCCCTGTGGGAAGGAGCCGGGGCAGCTGCTGTGGGACAGTCCAGGCTCAGGCAAATAATCAGCAAAACGGGTGCTGGGGGAGGACAAAGAAAGGGATGGAAGGGAACCTGGAAGGTGCACTAAGAGTCTGGACAGGGAAAGGAGGAGCCAATCTGCACAACATAGGTCCTACCTGGCTACAGCTTCTGCAGTGAAGTCGCTTCTGAAAGGACATGGGCAGGAGGGCAAGGAGTTTGGGCAACACTGGGTAAATGGTCCGAGGGTTCAGGGTCCGGCCCCGCATTCCCCCTGAAGGTAAAGGCGCTTCTGAGTCTCCTACCATGGAACCAGTGCACACCCAGCAAGCCCTCTGCTCTCGGGGCTCTGAGCCCCCAGCCCCACCCACCTCGCAGAGCTCAGACAAGAAGCATGACTGTTACAGACACCCAGGAGCCCAGAATTCCCTGACCTCCAGACCCCAGATTCCCTGAGCTCCCTCCCTCAGCCCTTCCTTGTTTCTCTGTGCCCCCACTCCACACCCCCTCACCAGTGAGCAGACTGACAATCAGGCCCACCACAATGACTGTGGTAGAGTTGTGAGCGCTGTACCATAAATATGACAGGGAATAGAGATGTTGCAGCCCTGCAGGCCTGCAGAGAACAAAGAGGCGAGGACAATAAGCAATTAATTGACAGGGCATTCCTTCGGCACCTAGTTCTACCCACCTGCATGGTCCTAAGGTCTTGGGACCCAACACTCAACATAACATTTCCCTGAGGTCTCTTTGGCAAGGCCCCTGGGAAACCCCTCAGAAATGAGCTATTCCCTCCAAGGAGAAAAAGAATGAGCCCTGACTTACTTGGAGAGGGTGGTCGAGGGCATCAGGGTAGTCATGGTGACAGTGGTCAGATTGCTCGGCAGGGAAATGCTGGACCCATTAGGGTGAGAGGGTGCCATGCTGGAGCCCATGCTCGTCACTATGCTCCCAATGCCAATCCAGAAAGCCATGATGAGTCCAGCCAACAGGCCCACGATGGCACCCTGCCCAGAGACATGGCACACTCTCCTGTCACAATGCCATACCAAACCTTCACCCAGTTCCCAGCACTCATGGTGAGAGCCCTGCCAAGTCATTTCCCAACTCCACCCCTGCACATGACTGTGGAGCCAGAGGGTCACTCACAGGAGGGTTAGCACAAGGAAAGAACATCCCAAGGCAGAAGAGTCCGAGCAGCGGACCCCCAACCATGCCAAAGATGCTGATTGCTGCCTGCAGAGGACAGGGTTGAGAAAAACAGAGAGAACATATGCTCAGAGACACTCCCCACCCAACCCCCCACCCCCTCCCACCCCCGCCTCACCAATGTAGAACACAGCCACCCGCCAATGCCTCAGAGCCCCACTTGGCAGATCTGTCTCTTCTACCTGGAACCGTCAGAACGCAGGATTCCAGAGGGGAGGGAGGGTTAAGGGAATGTGCTTTGGGTTCTTCTCCGAGGCTGATCCTTAGATCTCTCAGAGCCAACAATGTCCTAGGAATGACTCTGGGGCTTTTGGCTACTTGAGAGTCTGTCCATAGATAAAGGTGATCCATCAAAGGGGAATTTCTGACACCTGCCCCCTATGTCATTCTTGTCACAATAGCTGTCTTTCTCAATTTCCTGTTTCAGTTAGCTCCTTTTTTCTCTTAAAAATTGCTTTCTTCTCTCCATAGTCATTACCTGAAGCACGGGTCCCAAATGGGAGGAAATATAGGCCATTCCCAGACAAAGTAGCCCATAGCCAAACGCTAGGAAAAAAGAAGGGAAGAAACAAGCAAAGGTGAGTTAACACAATAAAAAAGGGTAAAAGTAGAACAAAGCTCCTTCCCCAGCCAAAAACTACCTCTGTGTCCCTGGAAACAGGGCATATTACCTCACGCCCCAGCTCCCTCCCACTCTGTCCTCACTCCCCTGTGACTCTGACACCTCCCCAGGAAATGCCCTGAGCCGTAAACAAGGTTGTATGCTTCATTCAGCAAGCATGCTGAGCCCAGGCCAAAGCCGGTGCCTTAAAGCAGACTGACAACAGTGCTTGGGGTATGTCTTAGAAAGAACATGATTGAAGAGATGAGGAAGCGTAATCCCACCGAGGATTCTGGAAAGCATGGTGGCTTGGACTTCAGAGAACTGAGGGAACCAAGGTCGAATCAGGTCTTCCATCGTAACAGTTGCCAGTGAATTAAAAGCAGAGGATATGGTGCTGAAAGGAGGAAGAAAAAGATGAGCTGCTTGAGTCTGGGAGCCGGGGAGGCAAGATTAACAAGGGACTCTATTGAGGGAACAGTGCCCCAAAGGTAGGAGGTGACACATGTAGCCAAAAACCATCCTCACAGTTGGCAGCAGAGGAAGAGGCCTGGGGCAAGGACATTTGTCCTTTTCTGAGTGGGGTACAGATATTGCCCAAGTAGATCAATTTTTGGTATTGTAAAAAAAGAATCCTTCTCCAAAAAGGGGGCATCTCCTGGGAGAGGATATGGTCTGTCCCACACAGATGAGCGGTCTCTTGTCATCCACAGATGGGTGGGCACAATGAGAAACTCAGCAGGATCCCCTCCTCCACATCACCTTGTACCAAGCAGGAGTCAGTTGAGCCAAGACTGAGGGAAATGGTCAGAGAGGTAGGTACCTGAGGGAGCCACTGAAGAGGCAGGCAACAAACAGCCCAGGCAGGCCTGGGAGGCCTTTCAGGAGATCCATCACAAAATACAGGACAAACTGCAAGCAGAGCACAAGTGCACAGCTCTCTTGAGAGAGGCGCCCTGCCCCAGGGTGAGACATGCGAGAAGCACCCTTGCATGTGCCCCCCAGTCTATGGGGACTGGGTGCATCAGGAAGGGGCCAGCCGCTGAGGGTGACCCCACAGTAAATGAAAAGAAAATGGGCTGTAGAGAGAGAACGGCACAGTTCATACCCCAGCTCTGCCCCAACCAGCAGGGTGACTGGAGCATGCTGACTACCTGCTGAGCCTCTTTTCTCCTCTGCAGAATGAGGCTTTTGGGAGTGTTAGATGAGACCAGGTGTAGGACAGCTCTCAGCAGAGCATGTGGTGCATGGTGGCGAGTCAATAAAGGTAGATTGCCAACCCAGTAGGCTGAGCACTGCGATTAGGTGATGCTGGGGGCTGGGACACTCACATGCTAGACTGCCAGAATCCCAGAGTGGAAAGAGATTTTATATCCATTTCCCATGCAGGGTGGGAGTCCTTCCTACAGCCAGTCAGACACTCTTATTTGGGGCCCAGGTTGGCACAGAAGGGGGCTAAAGAGGCCTTCTCACCTGGTCAGGGGCTGCTTGAGCCTGCTGGGTGCTCATGGGATACTCCTGGTAGTAGGCGAACATGACCAGGCCAATGAGGCAGCCCATACAGAGGACTACTTGCTGGCAAGGGAAGACTGCATAGCAGGAGCTACAAAAGAGGCCAGTGCCAAGGAGAAAGAGGGTGTTAACAGATACCCTTGGCATGTCCCCAATCCCCCAGAAAGCAGACCCACGTCTCAACCCCAATGGGTGTGTGTGTGCTCTGGCAGCCTGCCCCCACCCAACTGCCTCTGTGGAACTGGGGCCCACTCTCTTCCCACAGCCCTTGCTCCCCAGTCTTCTTGTCCCTGCACTCACAGCACAGCAGCCTTCTCCGTGCGGGAGCTGAGGTAGCGCTGCACCTGAGCCTGGTTCACCCCATATAAGGAGAGCATCATAAAGACGCCACCAAAGGCCAAGGTCCAAAAAGTGTGCCGCACAAAAGGGTCTGGATCCAGCCTGCAACAGACACCACCTGGTCACTGTGCCATAGCCCCAGAAAAAGATTCAGCCTTCCTCGCCCTCCTACAACAGGGGTCAGAGGAAAGCAGAGCAGAGACATCGCTGCGAGGGCCAAGGAGCTACTAAACACAAGAATTGGATCGACTCAAAAGACAGTGCAAGTTAGAGGGAGAGTTCCATTCCTCCAACCCACAGCCTCATCCCAGGTACTAAAAACGTCTTGACCCTCCTTAACCACCAGCCAGACCCCTGTGATCACCCTCCCTCTCTGCAGTGCCAGCTTCCCACCTATCTCAGTGCTGCACCTAAGGCTTCCACAGATTGCCTTCTGCTTACTACAGCCCTGAGCTCAGGCTCTAGGATGGGCTCAGCTCCCAGGCACTACAGACCCCAGAGAGGGGAAAGGGTGTACTTACTCAATCCCAGAGATGCGGCCATGCTGGGAAGCCACATCCCACACATGCCCCAAGCCGCCCACCTTGGCTGACCCCACGATGATAACTGACAGCTGCCCTAGGAACATGACCAGTGTCTGGAACACATCTGTCCAGATGACTGCTTTCAGCCCACCCTGCAGGGAAAAAGATAGCACACCTGTCACAGATGTCTTTCAAACTTTCCACCACCGAGGACACCCCGCCACCAGTGAGGGCACTATATCACCACCAGGGGCATAATTGCTGAGACCCTGTTTACATCATTCCTACCACATCCCCTAGTTCATATGCTATCCACTCACCTACGCCCCATCCCCTACCATAATCCCATCCCATCTTCTACATCTCATTTCATCCCACCCTAGAATTTCATCCCATTTCCTCATCTATATTGTTATTTCATCTCCCTCCTACCTTGTTATCTCATCCTTTCTTTTCCATTTCCTCCCATCTCCCCTCCTTACACTTCACCTCTTCTCCTTCCTCCCCTAAGACTTAACGTACTTACCAGAGCAGTGTAGACGCTACAGACAATGCCTAGGGTCAGCACTGACAGCCACAGATCAAAGCCAGTCACTATAAACAAATAAAAGTCACATTCTTGTCTCTGGAAGAGGGTTTCCCAGGCAACGAGCCAGAGAAGCCCTGGTAAAACATGAAGCATTTGGTCATTAAGGATAAAATAAATCATTCACCACAACAGAAAAAAAGAGTTTGCAGAGGTCCACTAAAAGGTGTTGATTAACCAGTTTAGATGGGGCATGGCAATGTTTGATTAGCTTTCAAGTGAGGTGAACCAAGCCTGCTTCTACCTCTGGTAGAGACCAGCCAAGGGCCCATTCAGTGAAATAATTCCCCGGCCAAGGTCAGATTCTTTTCTGCACACTCTCCTTTTCCTGTACCTCCCAGTGGTGTTTTCCCAGCCTGCCAGGGGCTGTGACTCCTCACCTGCATTGAGGGCCAATGATGGTGCATAGAGCACAACCCCCATATAGATCACCTGTTGGGTATGGAAAAGAGAACATGAGGGAAGATGAAGGTGGGCAAAGAGGAAGAAAGATGGAGCTCCAATATCCCAATAGCCTCCCTTCACCTAGGCTCCCTTTCTTCTCCCTTCTTCCAAATTTTGGCTTGCTGCCACCACAGGTTCTGTGCTGAAACTAGAAGGAAAGGGAAGTAGGATGCCTCTGGGGGCTTCAGTGACACTGACCCCTGGCAGAAATTTCAATCCTGCCAGTTTGAGAGCAGGGAAGGCTCCAACTGCTTCAGCAAGCCTGAGTTCAGGTCCCTCTACCATGTCTCAGGCTCAATTTTTATCCTCATTCCACTTACCATCTGAAAGATGAAGGTCACGGTCCCACAAACCCGCACAGCTTTATTGAATCGGAGCTCCAGGTACTAGGAGAAATATATAAAAATATATAGAAATGTATATTTAAAAAAAGGTATTCCTTCCTACTCTGCCTCTCACAATTCACACACAACTTCTCTCAAGAGGTGCAGGAACATGAGGGAATATCCAACTCATATCCACTCTGCCCCACACAGTACAGCACACTCCTCCTCTCCCTACTCACACCCCCACCTGATCTCACTTAGAACTTGTAAACACATGATGCTCTCTGTCACTCTCATTAGGCAGAGGAGATCCAGGGGCCCAGATCTCTCATAGGTGCCCTGTTCCTCCTCTCCATCCCCGACCCTGCGGGTCCTATGTGATCCTCCCTTCCTCCCTGCTCACCTCATAGGCACTGGTGAGATGCAGGCGGTAGAAGACAGGGATGAAGACGTGTGCAGGGATCAGCAGCCCCAGGAAATAGGAGATGCCCAGGAACCAGTACTGGGTCCCAAATTGGTAGATCTCGGACGGCACACCCAGGATAGCCACGGCTGATTGGAAGGTGGCCAGCAGGGACAGTGCCACAGGAAAGCAGGTCATTTTGCGGTCTGCCATCAGCAGCTGGCCAATGGTATGCTGGCCCCAGCCACGACAGGCATGGTAGAGCCCAATGGCGAGGGAGAGAACAAGCAGCAAGATGAAGACCACATAGTCCACGGTGGAAAAGGTGGATGTGACAACGCTTGTGTCTGAGGGTGGGGGGAGGGGAGAGGAGGTGCTCACCCCCACATTCATATCCTTACTGTGTCTGTGACCTGCAGCCACTTGCTGTGCCTGGGCTCTGGGCTGCCACTGGCCTGAGCAGTGGCAGACAAGTGGCTACAACCTGGCTCCCAGCCAAAGTCTCACAGTCCTCCTCCTCCACCAAGTGACATCGTCCAGGGTTAGCTGCAAAGGAATCAGCTTCTAGTTAGGTCTATCCTGCCTTCATGGCCACCTACCCTTTGGCCTGTGTATCCCAAACCACCAAACTTGGACCAGCCACCTCTGTGGCAGCCCTTGAAGATCTGGAGAAAGCAGCAGAGTGAGACAGCCAGGAGACAACTACCCGGCCAAGATCTTTCCGGGCATACACAGCTGTGAAATTTAAGAAACTTCTTAGGTCTCCACCCCAGTAACAAAAGAAAAATCAACTCTAGCCCGTGTTTTTTCTTAGAAGAATTCCCTGGCTCTGCTTGTAGGCATAGACCCAGTCACTACAATGTACTAAGCCAGCAGGGCCCAGCCTGGCGCCATAGCCCAGCAGGGGAAAAGAAAGGGAGACTAATGACAGCATGGCTTCCTCTATTCCCCCGGCCTCAGTCCCCGCCTGTCATGATTCCCAGTGTCACCTTCCTAACAGCACCCCTTCTCAGCACTGATCACCAGGAAGATCATCTCTATGGCAACCGCAAACTCCATTCCAGGCAATCCCAGGTCAATCACTCCATGCCCCTTTCTTAACATTCTCCCTTACACCACTAGATAAGCCTTGATATCCACCTCTTGGCTCCTCTACCTGTAACACCACAGTCAACGGCAGGTCCAGGAAGAGCAGGAGGATTTAAAAGTGAGAAGGCAACATGCTGGAGCCAGGGGTTCAGAGTTGCAATTACAGGCACTTCGAAGAGAAGCAAACCAGCCAGGGAGAGTGGGCTGGGAGAGTCCCACTGAGGCAGACACGTACCTAGAGAAGCAATCCCTGTTCCGAGGCAGAGTCGCCTGGAGAAGTTGTGTGTCTGGAGCTGGGCAGAGGCTGAGGGTCTGGCTCTGTAAGTGGCTGAGGTGAGATGAGGAAGTGAGGGTGGAGTGAAGCTCAGTAGCTATTTGTTCTGGCCCCTTCAGGGAACCAATCGCTGGGGTCCAAATGGCCCTATCACCCTATGGCCCCCAAACTCCAGCTCAGTCCTAGAGGCTCCAGAATGGCGAGCAGGGAGCTCACATTCAACAGCATTCCTGGATGGATTAGGCTTTCACTGTAAGTCACACTTGGCACTGTGTGCTAGAGGGAATTGGAAAGGAGGAGTTGAGAGAAGATGTGAAAGTTGCTTTTCTGACTCCTGCACAAGAAATACTAATCCTCAAAGAATACACCATTATCCTCAGAACAAGGACCACATCATAGCATTTCAAAACTTAAAAGGATCTTAAGAGATCTTTATTACCACCCCCTCATTTACTGACAAGACACTGAGGCCCAGATGACTTTCCAAAACCACAGAGCCGATTACCGTCAGAGGCTAGATCAGAACCCAGCTCTAGTGACCGATCCCTCATCCATCTGCTCCCATTCACGCCACACTGTCTATAGGGTCTACTTCTTGGAGTGCTTATTGGTATGAGGAAAAAAATACCAGAGAATGCCATGTATCTGGATAGCCTAATGATGACAGTTAACATTTTCTGAGCACCTGCTATGTAGCCTGGCAGTGTCCTATGTACCTCATAAACATTAGTAATAATGAGTAATAAAGAAATAACCATAGCTATTCACTTCCAAAACACCATGTCTCAGGTTATGCACTTTACATGAACACTCTGTAGTTATCAAAGGTTACACAGCATAACACAAAACAAGAGAGAAAGACACAGTGCTATCTGCAGATATGACAGATGATTCACCAGGGCCCCTAGCCTCACTACTCCCAGAACCAGGGGAGAAGCAGATTGTTAACTGCAGTCAGTTAGTTATGGAACAAAGTTTAGATTCCAACTAATCTAGAGACATACTAATATAAGCTATGTCTTCTGCTCTTGCCCACTAGGAGAAAGATCAGCCTGGCTGTGTTCTGCCTCTCCACAGTGTTCTTGGGCAGATGTTGCCTGGCTGGTAATCTACAGCCTTACACACACCTGAACTCTGAACCTCCTGGGGCCAATGAAGAAAGGAAATCAGACTGGCAACTCTAGGATCACGTGTTCTACAGAGTCAGAAATGTTAGTCCCCAGAACAGTGTTACCAACAGGCCACTATGGTTTAACCTAAAGACGCCCTGGACCTCTGTCCAATACACTGCAACATTTCAAGTTTTCTCACCCGTCTTTGGCAAATTTTTACTGCTATGATAGAGGTGATGGGAACTACTGGGAAGTAAGAGAAGACGTCTGCTGTGTGCAAATAAGAATGTGTGGCAGAAAAGGGTTAGTGACATGGATAGGCAGGTGGTTGGACAAAGGAAGAAAGGTCCCAGTGTAGACTGGAACACAGACATACAGAAATGGAGACCCTCTCCTTCTGGGGTAAACTGGCAGGGCTTCCTGACGGAACTCTATTGTATGAGGTGCAGAGAACCCTCCTGGATGGCTGAAGAAAGACAGAGCCAGGCAAGACAGGAAAAACCTGACCCAGTAAAAAGCCTTCATCAAACATGACAGTGGCTTTCTAAAAACTCTACACTGATCCAAACTCTAGGGATTTGCACCTCTCTGAGAGTGGGAGCCCAAAGGAAGAGCCGAGTTGTTTCACTGAAACGGTAACACACGGGGCACAAAAAGCAGGCTGTGAGACTCCTTTTAAAGAGTCTAACTCACACACAAGAAAGGAAGAGTATCCTTCTCCACCGCCCTACTCCCATCCTCATTTTGGTCACTTTATAGGAGTCAAAGAATTGCTCTGACTCTTACAAAAGGCAAAGGAGCCACTGCAGGACCAAACGCCCCCAAGATTCCTTCAAAATCTGTCCTTATGCCCAGAATTCCTCAAGACCTGAAAGGGTTTGGGGGCCCTCACGAGACTGCTAATAACTACCAAAAATGCCTTAGAAAAAGTGCCAGCCAGCCAGCTGAAAGCAAATCCTTTCAGGAGATTCCAGATACCCGGGGGGTATGTGGAAGGGAAGGCTGGGCCGGCTACTCAAGATGAGCTCTGGTTAGCGGTCATGAGCTTTTGGCCGGCCCCAAGCAAAGCCAACACTCAGTCCATCCGGGCACGGGGCTCGCCCGGGGCCCTTCGCTGAGCTCTCGGGCCACCCTGGGACAGCGCTCGCCTTGCCCTCACCTCCGTGGCTCAGCCAGGGCTAAGAAAGTCTCGTCGTTCTTCCTGAGATCAGCATCGCTCCGTTTTGCTGCGAGGGCAAAGGAGATGAGGAGTTAGGGTCGGTCTATCTCGCCCTCATCTCCGCGCCAGGGCTCCGGACGCGGCGCGGTCTCAGGACTGAGGTGAAGAGGACAGGGTGCCCGGGGCGTCCCCAGGCTCGTCTCCTCCCGCCCGGGCTTGCCCTTCGCCCTTCGCTCCTCCATCACCCATACCCTCTTTATTTCCTGGCTTTCCTCCTTCCCTCCACACACGAGGTGGCGGGCCCAACTACCACCTGGCTGCTCACACCTCAGATCTTCCCGGGCCCCCAAGCCGGGGGGCCGGCTCGCCCCGCCCTCCCCGTCCTATCGCCACTCTCCTGAGGGTATGGGCCCACACCCTCCCGGCCCGCCCCGTCCGGCCCACCTGCCAGGTCTCCACACGTGGGTCCGGCCGCGCCGGAGTGCCCGGCCTGCGCCCGGGCCGGGTGACAGTGGGCCCCGCCCCCTGCCCGCCCCCGCGCCGCCATGTTTACTGAGGGCGAACGGAGAGGGCCCCAGCTGCTGCGGAGAAGTGACCTCGGCGTCTGGGCACGAGGAGCGCGCAGCTGAAAGAGTGGTGGTGGGGGAGGCCTTCGGTGAATGGAAAAAGGAGAGGGGGTCGGCCAGTGCCCCCTAACCAGGACCGGGGCGCACGGAGAAGAGCGCTGACCTCTGCCAGCAGCACCAACCCACAGCCCGCCCCGGGCCACCCCCGGGCGAGGGCGTGACGCACGGGGGGGCGGGGCCACACGCGCAAGTCTCGCGAGCAGCTGAGAAGGACGAAGGGAGCGGAAAATGGCCTTTCGCGAGCGGGGACGTCCTTCGAGCCTGGTGGCCTGGGCTGCCGCCCTGCTGCTCGCTCTGGGCGTGGAAAGGGCTCTGGCGCTACCCGAGGTACAGAAGCAACTTAGAAGTCTGGCCGAAGCCGAGTTGCTGGTCAGCTGTGTGTCTTGCTCGCCCGCCCTTGGCTCTCCCGTCTCTCCAGCCGGCCCGCAGCTCCGATTTCGCCCCCGAGGCCTCCCCAGCCGGAGCAGAGCAGGCTCCGGCTCCCCAGTACTCACGCTGCGCGGGTCTCCCAGCACCCTCGCCCTGCCGACGTCCAAAGACCTTTGAAATTTGATCTCCTCGCTCCTTAATCTTTGAATAAGTTTTTTCTACAGAGTCCTCTGGCTCTTGTGCAAGCTCGCCACGGACGAATGCCGTATATCGTGCCGTGGCGGGACTGTCCCTTCTGTAATGCTTGATGATGAGTTCTTTGTGTACCTGCAATTCTTTTACACCCGGCCAAACCCGGCTGTCAGATTGAGAAATCACTGGAGAGGGCATAATAAGTATGTTCTAAAACTAAACCCTCAAAGAAGAGGGCCTTCCCTGAGTGAGGTCTGGTACAGAAAGTCTCTGGTGCGCCTTTTTGGCGCTTGGCTCTAGGGGAAGAAATATATCTCAGTAAACCTGATTAAAAGGTAGGACACTTCCTGCCCTGCGTTAGAGGAATTGTGGAGAGTGTACTGGCAGTTAACTTTTGATCTCCATTCTTTTCTTGGCTTTTCTTTCTGGTGTCCTAATAGTTTTCTCTCTTCTGCAGATATGCATCCAGTGTCCAGGGAGTGTGCAAAATTTGTCAGAAGTGGCCCTTTACTGTAAGCAGACACCAGGGCTAATGCTGCATGCCCGCTGCTGCCTGAATCAGAAGGGCACCATCCTGGGGTGAGGGAGGAGAAGACATCCCTGGATACTGGAAAAGAGTTCCCAAACCGGATTCTTCGAGGCTTGCTTGATTGGCTTTTGGGATAAATATTGGTGCCTGTTTTGGAGGCATCTAAACCATGATTCTCAGACTTTTAAATCTATTATAGCATTTTTGGCTAGGTGAAAAACCCTGTGGTTCTTTCTGATTGAAACTGCATAAAAGTCATAATTTTGGCCTTTTTTTTTTTTTTTTTTTTGAGGCTTTTATGGCTTCGTTAAAAAAAAAAAAGCTTTCTTCTCTTGGTTACTGTCAACTCTTTGGATTATTTACTGTGTGTCCATGAAATGACTCCCTTAGCCTCCAAGACACTATGCTAATATGGTTTTCTTCCCTTTCTGATGAATTCATGTTTGTCTTTAAGGCAAATGCCTCTTCCTGTCCCCTTATGCAGGTTAGTCCCTGCATTTTTTCCTTTACGTTCTTGAGAATCCACCTATTCTTAGGGCTTCAGCTGTAACCACCATGCAGGTGTCTCCCAAAACTACATCTCTTTTAGTATCCTTTGACCTCTCTCCAAGCTCCAGGTATGTGTGGGTACCTCTAGCTTCCTATTAAACAATTCCTCTTCACTGCACCCTCACTTCAAACTCAAAATGTCATATGTCTTGCTTCCATTCTCTTTCCCTAATCTACCTAAATACTACTCTACATTAAACTTTATGAAAGCCAATTTTTTTCCATTATCACTCGCTGGCTTTAAAATTAGACTTACAAGTGTCTGTGCCCTGAGGATAAAGTTCAGACCATGAACTACCACAGACTGATCCCAACCCACTTTTCCAACATTATTTCCAATTATTTGTCCACCCAAACCCTGCACCAGGGTCTGGCTTCAGCCAGACTCGCCTACCTCCAAAATCATTGCACCTTTGTTTATTTTTTCAGGCCTCTCTCTTTACCTGAAACTGCCTTCCTCCATCCCATTAAGAGATATCCATCCTTTAATTCCAACATTCTTTGTGAATGGTCCCTAACTAAATACCAAAGTAATATCTTTCTATTTTTTTATTCCTTCTAATCCTTAGTGTCTGTACCACTCAAATTACTGTCCTGTGACTTCTTATATATTGTAATTTAATGTTTATATTGTTTTTATTTTTGGTGATGGCCTTGTTCCTCTACTACATTGTGAGCCACTTGAAAGCTAAGATACTGAGGGGCTTTTTTTCATTCTCCCAATTTTTGCAGTTAGTAGGCACTTGGTAAATATTTGTAGATTATTAGTTGAATTCTACAATAGATATTGAAGAAAACATACTGTGGCATGTTTCTTAATATCCAGTAGTTTACATCCAATCTGTGGTAGAAAATGCACTTGGAAAAAACTTCAATTTATATGACTTGCATTTTTTTTCCATTTGAAGGCCCTTTGTGTATCTGAGAATCATAATAATATGACTATGAGATTCACTAATCTAGATAAGAAACAAGTTTCTTCTCATATATGCACAGATGCATAGGTATACTAATAAGAACAGTACTGTCCAATAGACCTTTCTGCCATGATGGATATGCTCCATATCTGTACTCTCCAATACAGTAGCCACTAACCATGTTACTAAACACTTGAAATGTGGCTAGTGCAAATGAGGGACTGAATTTTTTTAATTTAAATTAAGTAGCTACATGTAGCTAATGGTGACTGAATTGGCCAATGCAGGATCAAAACATCTACCACAGCACCTACTTTGTGGCCCTGTACACAGCTGTGTTCAATTAATAATAGCTGAAAAGGGGGTTATGTTAGCTTACCATGATGAAGAGGAGAGACACATAGTTACAACAGTTACTTTCTCTCGTCAGGCTGGATCTCCAGAACTGTTCGCTGAAGGACCCTGGTCCACACTTTCCTCAGGCACATACAGCTATAATCATGTAAGTTATTGGTTATCCTTCCTTCCAAAAGGTGACTATGGCAAAGGGTTGATGGGAAACTCTTTAAGGATGGATTCCTAAAAAGGTGTTTGAATATTAATGTCTAAACTTGGACACCTCAGAATGAGAACTGGATTACCAGTCCAGGAAGATGTGTGAATAGAGATAGGGTGTTTTCCTAGAGCACAGTGCTAACAGTGTGTGCTTTGCAGAGACCTACAAGTAAACCCCCTCAAGGATGACTTGGCTGGCACCTTCCGTGGCTTTACCCAGCTCCAGACTCTGTGAGTGAGGGTATAGGGTAGGGGAGAGAATCACACGGGAGCAGTACTGTGAGCTCAGCAACTTTGAGCTGCATATTATGACTGCCTATGTTGTGTTCAGGATACTGCCACAAGATGTCAGCTGTCCTGGAGGTATTAATGCCTGGGATACTGTCACCTTTTATACAAACAACCAAACCTGCCAAGGGCAAAGGAACCTTTGCAACAGCACTGGGGACCCAGGTATGCTGTCTGACCTCCACCTTTCTGGGAACTGCTTTTCCTCCTTTGTGTTTTCTACTTTAGGTCAGAAAGACAGTTGAGTTGCTTAAGTGCCTGTTGTTCAGGTTTCTGAGGTTCTAACCCCTTGGAAAGAAAAGGTCTTATAATGTATTTTATTATTGTTGTTATGTTCCAATTGTCTATAATCTTCTTTCTTCTACCTTGAACCTAGAAATAATTGAGAGAATCTAAGTTGAAACAGATGCTTGAGAAACATACCTAATAAGATCCAGTAATGTTCTGTTTTTCTGTGGCTCCCAGAAATGTGTCCTGAGAATGGATCTTGTGAGCCTGATGGTCCAGGTCTTCTGCAGTGTGTTTGTGCTGATGGCTTTCATGGTTACAAGTGTATGCGCCAGGTGAGAAATTAGACCTTCTAATTAGGGAGAAGAGAAATGCACAGAGTAAGCACCTCTCTGAAACAAGAGCTGTAAGATGCAAATCGCCTAGAGAAGGAAACTGTAACGGAATTGCCCTGGATGAGGGGATAGGTATACAAGGAAGGAACTGGGTGATAGGGTGTAGCCCTCGGTGTAATGCTGTATCAGGATTTACTGTCTGTTTTTCACAGGGCTCATTCCCGTTGCTTATGTTCTTTGGGATTCTGGGATCCACCACGTTATCCATCTCTATCCTGCTTTGGGGAACCCAACGCCGAAAAGCCAAGGCTTCATGAATCACATAGGTCTTCCTACTGACCTGAAGATCGTCCTGATCTATCTTAGCCCAGCCGGGGAGATTTGCTTCCTAGACAGGCATCGTTGGCCAGTGGATCTTCCTCAAGGCTGAGGCCACCTTTGGAAGAAGGATAGAAAATTGCACAACGCTGGAGGGGCATGGAGACTCCAGTCCAGAACTAGTACTAGTTCCCATTTGTACTGTTAACTGTAATAAAAACTTTTTCTTCTTCTTCTTCTTTGTTTTTTATTTTCAGGGAAAGGCGCCCTGGCTTTGTGCGTTTCTCGGTTGGGGTGGGACAGACCGCCTTGGAGGAGTTTGGTTTTTCAGGTTTCGGCGGGCTTTGTGTGGGCGAGGCGAGGCGGCTCTAACCCTGTCACTGCCCTGGCCCCGCCCCTTACGTGCCTGGCCCCGCCCCTCACGCGGCCTTTTTCCGCGCCGCCGCAGTCTGCTGGGTGCAAACTGAGCTCACGCGGCTTCCACGCAGTGCTCTCTGCGGTCGCCAGTGCTGCTAGCCACGTGGACCTCTCCTGGCGCGCCGTCCTCACGTGGTTTCCGCACCGGCTGGGAATTGCTGCGTTTGCAACTTTTCTGCGCGCCCCCAGCTTTGTGCTCCGTTCCTATGGCGGCCCTGGTGTTGGAGGATGGGTCGGTCCTGCGGGGCCAGCCCTTTGGGGCCGCTATGTCGACTGCCGGGGAAGTGGGTAAGCAAGCCCGGGCCGGCTGCCCACCTCATCCCACTCTCTGCTGCCTCTCTCTGCCCAGCCTGCCCTGCCCAGACCCCGTCATTTTCCCGCCTGCGCACCCCCTCCCCCCATTCGGTGCCCATGTCTCCAGCCCAGCTCATTTCATCCCTCACGGTCAAGACAGCCTCCGTTGGGGCATTCTCATCGCGCGGGGCAGTTTTCCGAAGGGTGCCCTGCCTAAGCCCCAGCCCTCCTCTTTCTTGCAGTGTTTCAAACTGGCATGGTCGGCTACCCCGAGGCCCTCACTGACCCTTCCTACAAAGCACAGATCTTAGTGCTGACATATCCTCTGGTCGGCAACTATGGCATCCCCCCAGATGAAGTGGATGAATTCGGTCTCAGCAAGGTAGCCACACTCAATGTTTTCTCTACATTCCTTTTCAAGTCAGTAATTAGTGATGACATTGACATTCTGCTAGGCATCCTAGAGAGGACAAAGATACACACAGAAGTGATAAGACAAGTACTACGCAGAGCTTGTTAAGTGTTTTGAGAGGCACAGAGTGCTGCTGGAGGCCAAGCCAGAGAATCTGGACTTTGGTAAGGAACCAGTGAAGACTTCTTAGCAGCAGAGTCGTGTGATGGGAGCAATGCTTTAAGATTATATAGATTAGTGGGAAAGAGACGGGAAACTAGGGTCACATTCCTCCCAGTGACAGCGGGTCCCTACCAAACCAGGGAAGTTGATTATCATCTCTTAAGCCTACTTTCTTTACCTTGCCTCATTTTCTACCACTTTTCAGGAAAGCTCTTACCTCTAGATAAGAAAAAAGTTAGTTTCCTCCCACAGTGAGGTTTCCCCTATTCGTCCTCTGAAATTTGGAAACTAGGTTGCCCTCTGAGAGTTCAAGTAATAAAAAAATCGACCCAAGTTAATAGTGGAAGTCACCATAGCCTAGGTACAGTACTCCTCAAAATTCTTTTTGTCCTGATTCCAGCTTACTGAGCCCTTAATTATTAATTTGCCTTCCCAGTCACCCTGACGCTTAGGAGAGGGAGCTCCAGGTGAGGGACACACTTGTTATTCTTGGAAAGGACCATCCCTCATCACAAACCTATAAATAGACTACCTTGTAGTTTATGGTGTAGTATCTCAGTTAACGTATGTCAGTCTTCAGCTTTGTCAACTGGACACAATGACAAAATTGAGTTCATAAACCTGCATAACTGAGGCTCTGACAGAACTAGAGTGAGTAAGGCCTCCTGGAGCCACCAACCCACCACAGATGCTTTTGTGGCACATATGCTGTAAATGCACTTGTCCACGGGCAGACTAGTTCACCTAGCGGTGAGGGTTCTGCTGAACTCTCCTTCAGATCCCTAAAGAGCAGTCTCAATATCCATCTTCCTTTAAACCTTTAACTGCTAAGCAGATAGAATTTAAATAAGCCACTCCCTCCCACATAGAGGAACTGTTTCTCTGTTTACTTAAGTGCTTACCTGTTGGGTAGCCAATTTGTGTTATCTTTTGTCTTTAACGGTGATCGTCTATGAAGAGGGGAGATATAATCATGCCTAATATTGTATCCTGAACCCTTGTTTTTATTTAGTAGTGTGTTGTGCACCTACCACTCTTACACTCTGTTTTTGTCACACTCTGTAATTATGATCTTGTTTATTTACATGTTACCTTATTAATTCTCAGGTTCCCTAAGTGGCAGATTAACATTGTGAAGACAGGGACCTTGTTTTTTTCATGTTCACTGCTCCTGCCCCAGCATCTGTTACAATGTCTGGCGCCAAGTGGGCACTCAGTAAATATTCGTTGACTGCTATCATACGTCAGGCACCTTGCTCTTGAGTTCACAGTTCTGTGAGGAAGACACTGACGCATTCATCATACAGTATAAATAGCAAGAACAGTGGAAATAAAGTGAGCTTAGGGGAGCTCCAGGGAGGAGGCACAAGCTGCCGTGGGTGAGTGGGGTAGCTTCACAGAAGAGGAGATTTGTGATCTCAGTTTTGGGTAAAAGAAAAGGAAAAAGGAAAATGACACTTTCAGTTATTAAATAGGCACCCTGGGCCCATGGGTTCATTGTTTCATATAGATGACAGCATTATTGGTAAAGGGCAAAAGCATGAGGTGCTTGGTGTGTTCAAGGAATGACAGGTCATTCAGTGTGTGTGAAAGGGTCCATGCTGTACAGTGGTAAAAGATGACGGGCAGTTATGTGGCCTTGGGCTCCTCATGATTATGTCCTTCTATTAACAGTGGTTTGAATCCTCGGGGATCCATGTAGCAGGACTGGTGGTAGGAGAGTGCTGCCCCACGCCCAGCCACTGGAGTGCCGCCTGCACCCTGCACGAGTGGCTGCAACAGCATGGCATACCTGGCCTGCAAGGTATGGCATGAGCATAGGTGTATCTGGGCAGAGCACAGATTCCTGGATGGAAAGAATCAAGAGAAGATCTCTGTGCACTATTGGGACTTGAGTCCGAGGTTGTAGTAGGATGTATCTAATTTGGAAAGTTTAGATTGGAGTCCAGGGCTGGGGGAAGAAACAGCTCTTGCTCAGATGGAAAATTTCAAACATACAATAGGAGAGAATAGTATAATGAACCCCTAGCTTCTATAATCATCAACTCAGGGCTCAGCTTATTTCATCACCACTACTGTAACCTCTAGATTAATTTGAAGCAAATCTCAGATATTGTATCATTTCATCCACAAATAGTTCAATATCTATGAAAAAGGAATCCTTTTTAAAATATGACCACAATAACATCATTTCTTTAAAAAATTAACAGTAATTACTTAATATCAAATATCCATGCAATGTTTAAAATTTTCTAGAAATTTTTTTTTTGAGGAAGATTAGCCCTGAGCTAACTGCTGCCACTCCTCCTCGTTTTTGCTGAGAAAGACTGGCCCTGAGCTAACATCCATGCCCATCTTCCTTTACTTTCTATGTGGGACACCTACCACAGCATGGAGTGCCAAGCCGTACCATGTCCACACCCGGGATCTGAACCAGTGAACCCCGGGCTGCCGAAGCACAATGTGCGCACTTAACCGCTACGCCACTGGGCCAGCCCCAATCCCCTTTTCGGTGAGGAAGATTGGCCCTGAGCTAACATCCGTGCCCATCTTCCTCTACTTTATATGTGGGATGCCTGCAACATCATGGCGTGCCAAGCGGTTCCGTGTCTGCACCCAGGATCTGAACTGGCAAACCCCGGCTGCCAAAGCAGAATGTGCAAACTTAACCGCTGTGCCACCGGGCCGAACCCTAAAATTTTTTTTTTTACTGTTTGTCTGTTTGAATCTGGATCTAAACAAGATCCATACATTGCATTTTGTTGATGTTTCTCTTTAATCTATGGGCCTTGTAACCTATTTGACAAAAACAGATCAGTTTTCCTTTAGAGTATCCCATAGTCTGCAGTTTGTTAATTATATTCCTATAGTGTCATTTACTATGTTCTTCTGTCCCTTGGTGTTATTTTCTGTAAACGGAGAAATCAGGAGTCACAGTTCAACTCAGATGTGATATTTTTGGCAAGAGTATTTCATGGTAGTATACTCCATCAGGATGGCCCAGAATTTTGGTGCCCATAGAACAGCCGTGTGTGACTCAGGGCTCTGGAATGGAAGTGCTCCTGGAAGTCTAACCTCATGGATGAATTGGGGGAGTGTAATCTCAGAGGGTGCTCTTTTGACAGGAGTGGACACTCGGGAGCTGACGAAGAAGTTACGAGAGCAAGGGTCTCTTCTGGGAAAGCTGGTCCAGGATGGGACAGATCCTGCAGCCCTGCCATTCTTGGACCCCAATGCCCGCCCCCTGGTGCCAGAGGTCTCCATTAAGGTACAGAAGTAGAGTGGGAGAGTGTTGCAAGCTGTAGCACAGTAGCTATCTTCTGCCTATAACTGGGGTGAATATTTGAGGAAGAATCAAAAGAGGCCTCAAAGGTGTGGGTTGGTGTGTGCATATCGATACCCATGGATCACAGCTGCCAACAATTGCCCGTTGTTCCTTAGGCTCCACGGGTATTCCATGCAGGAGGTACTCCTCGGATCCTTGCTTTAGACTGTGGCCTCAAGTATAATCAGATCCGATGCCTGTGCCAGCGTGGGGCTGAGGTCACTGTGGTACCGTGGGATCACGTGTTAGACAGCCAGGGTGAGTAGCTGGGGTCTGTACAGGCCCACAGACAACAGCATGGGGGGAAATCAGTCCCTTGGTCCAGTTGCTAAAATCAGTGTGAATTGCATGGAAGAAGATGGAGATAAGGGCTTTTGCTCTACTGGTAAGGGCTGCAAGTATGTCTCTCTGGTTGAACTACTGGTTTTGATGTCATCTTTTCTGCCCTCTCCAGAGTATGAGGGTCTCTTCCTGAGTAATGGCCCTGGTGATCCCGCCTCCTATCCCAGTGTGGTATCCACACTGAGCCGTGTCTTATCTGAGCCTAATCCCCGGCCTGTCTTCGGGATCTGTCTGGGACACCAACTGTTGGCCTTAGCCATTGGGGCCAAGACTTACAAGATGA